TAATAAGTAGGCAAGCTAGAATTTAACTTTCCTGAAATAATAAAAGAGATATTGTTTCTTTCAACAATGTATACCTTATTATATATAAATCAAAATAAAGAAATCTCCCCCCAAAAAAAAGAGAACATATCATTAATATTATTATATATTTTAAACTATAGCTTGAAAAGTACTGTTAAGGTAAAAAAATAAAATATATACCTAATTTAAAATTATTGACCCAAGGATAATGAATGAATAATCCTATATGATCTTTAAATCTTTTTTTTGTATTCATAGTATTTTTAAATCGCAAAAATCCTTGCCATAGTTGGTTACTCACTTATTGGATTATCGATTCACGTATTATATTAAATAAAAAAGTATTGCTCAACTTATCTAGAATTTTTCGAAATGTTTTCCTCCATGGCTTCACGATTATTTTCCCTTGCAAGCAGAACGCACTTTCCTTTAGGCCTAGCAAAAACGGCAACGCCATTTTTGCGTGGTTTTGCTACTGCCTCAGAACCTATAACTTATACATTGCCGAAGAATAGTTTCAAGGCATACGATTGCGAGTCACCTTCAAATGAAATTGAGATAACGAGGGAAGAAATTGTTGAAATGTATAAGCAAATGGTCTTGATGCGTAGGATGGAAACTGCTGCAGATGGCTTATATAAAGCAAAGAATATTAGAGGATTTTGTCATTTGTGTACAGGTCAAGTAAGCATTATCTGTATATGTGAAATTTCAAATGGTTGATTGTGGTTAAATTACTGCTAATGGTAGGATTTTATTAACGATCTAATGATACCTTTGAAATAACAGGAGGCAGTATCTGTAGGAATGGAAGCAGCGATCACAAAAGAAGATGCGATTATCACAGCGTATCGTTGTCATGGCTATACAATGATGCGTGGAGCTACACCTCGTCAAATTCTTGCAGAGTTAACAGGTATTCAGAAATCCTTGATATTGATCACTGTATATACCAGCATTTTTCGTTAAAACAAGCGATATTTTTTAATCACACAGGTCGCACCACCGGTACTTCAAAGGGAAAAGGAGGCTCTATGCATATGTTCGCTAAAAACTTTTATGGTGGAAACGGTATAGTTGGTGCACAGGTTGTGTCTTCGGATAAAAATTTATGTCTGTTTACTTTCGCATGATTAACATAAGTCTGAAATGGTTAGGTTCCTGTAGGAACTGGCATAGCTTTCACTCAAAAGTATATGGAAACCAAAAATGCTACATTCATTTTATATGGTGATGGGGCAGCCAACCAAGGTCAAGTATTTGAGGCTTATAATATGGCAAAACTATGGAGTTTACCGGCCATATTTGTTTGTGAAAATAATTTATATGGTATGGGAACTTCCGCTAGTAGGAGTTCCGCCAATACACAATATTATACGCGTGGTCAATACATTCCTGGAGTTCAGGTTTTACAATTCGTTTCTGTGATCCATCTATCATTCAGTCTTTCAAATCGATAACTTTTAATATCATCACGGTAGGTCAATGGCATGGATGTATTAGCCGTGAAGCAAGCATGCAAATGGGCAAAAGATTGGACTACATCTGATAAGGGACCTGTTGTCATGGAGATGGTGACCTATCGTTATGGTGGTCATTCTATGTCAGATCCCGGTACCACCTACCGTACTCGTGAAGAAATTCAACATATGAGGAGTACGAACGATCCGATCACCGGTTTAAGATTGAGGATTACGGATTTAGGTTTTCTCACTGAAGCCGAGATCAAGGTATTCCAGGTATTTGATTGTGCACATTTATTATCTGCATGACTAACCAGATCTTCCCTCCACAGACAATCGAGAAAGAAATACGCGCAAACATAGATGAGGCGGTAAAATTGGCCCAAAATGATCCATTACCCGATGAATCGGAAATATGGACCAATGTTTATGTAAAAGGTTCTGAACCTCCAACCATAAGAGGCCGTGAACGTGAGGAATTTGGAACATTTCAATAAAAGACGAATACATAAATAAAATTTACTGAATATTAACAAGGATTTTAGCAAAAATCCTAATTATTTTTTATAAAATGGTTTAATTTAGCGCGTGCGTGAAATGTCTTGTACTTGCACAGTTAATCGGAACTTTCACCACTCCCACCCGCATTATTAACAAATTGGATATTATATCCATCACTATTAGGATCCTTCACCATTTTAAAATTGTCGGTTGACAATCCAAATTTTCCCAATATGGTATTACCAAAGTCTTTTAATTTACCCAACATCTCGTTTTTTTCATTTTCTTGCTGCTGAGCAATTATCATCGGTAAATTCTGTATCGATGAATTAATTGATTTGCGTGTGGTAGAACTCAATTCTGATTGATGTGATGGAGTAGATTGTAATGTCTTATAATCTGTACGCGTCAATTAATTTTAGGAGTAAATGATAAAGTGCTAAGTATAGACATTCCCAGAATTAATCTAACGAAGTTCTACCTTCAAGTGCGGATGATAATGACGTATGGGTATGGAGTTTTTCGTTAGCTTGCGCTCGCCGTAACAAAACTTTAGTGTATGTTGGCAAATCTTCGAGTGCTATTTAAGGAAAAGAATTTAGAATTCTGATAACATTAGGTCGCCTGATCACCATAACAGATCGTTCACGCGTTTACCTTTGGTGCATGCCTCTACAGCTTCCTGATACTTTCCCTATAAAATACAAGATCAGAGGAATTGTTCTTTTCGCGTTCGCCAATTAATCGATTCCAAAATTTTACCAATTTGACGTAGCAAGCTCCGAGATTCCCCCAATAGATTGCCCGTTCGTTTCTAATCTCATCCGGACAAGTATCCAAAGCCTTTTCATATTCTACAATAGCTTCCTCGAATTTCAACATTGAAAAATGCTCATTTCCTGTTATTTTATAACTATTCGCCAATTCTATCAAATTTTTTATTTCCTCTGGCGTAAACTTTGGTAACGCTTCTTCCTCTGTTTTCACACCTATCCCTGATTCTCCTGAGACTTCTGTAACAGGTGCTGGATCGATTTTTTGCTCGTGATCGCTAGAATTTGATTCTGTAGAGGTGGTAGTCGAGTTGAATTTTGGAATTTGCAGATTAGGAGCAAGTTGGCGTCATAAAAGAACATTCTTTAATGCCAACCTTGGACGGGTTCTTGAGAACTTTCTTTTGTTGCCATTTCAAACGACCTACGTTCACCTACGTATCTGACATGTAGCCCAATAAATCATCACATGTAATGTGTGACTTAACATCAAGTATACTGCGCGTGACTCAATATATACGCGTGTAAAATAAATATAAAATAGATTTTTTTACTTGGTATTAATTTTTCTTCGAATCGAAGTTACATTAAAGTTCAATGTCCGTTGGAACAGCAATCACGTAATTACTCCACGAATTTAGTTCGTGTGGTTGTTTGCTCAATTGACAACAGCTTAGTAACATGTTTTCTCTGATACAGTGACTTATTTGAATTACGCCATAAATTAGTTTGTACAATGCATCCTCACGCTATAAACGTTCCGTAAAGTTAGAAACAAAAAAAGGAATGTGAAAAGAATGGCGGTTACAAAATTTCTACATATTTAAAGCTGGCTCTTATTACATGAACATATTCTTACAAACTAATCAAATCATAATTACATACTAAATGGGTTTTAAATGCACATGCGAGCAATATTAGCAGACGACCGCAATTTTATCTCACAATTCATTACCAATGGTCACCCAATAATCCCTTAAATTGTTCTTTCGGCCAAATATTTCCAGATAATTTCCTGCGTCATATATCCATAAGTTGAAATCCAGTTAGACGCGAACATTTAAAAAGCCAATTACAGACGAAGTAATAATTTAACTACCATTTGGAATCAATTCTTCAATCATTTCATACAATTCCTCGGGTTTCTGACTTTGCCCACGCCTTTCTGAAAAGATTACATCAGATGAAATCGAATGATTGCATCCTGGTGGATCTTCTCCCTAATTATTAATTACGATGGTTCGTCACTCGCTAATGTCCCCAAAAACATTTACCACAGATATCATTAGCGATGCAGACCTTTCTTCCTATTAGACAGGTTTCCTTTGCATGCTGTAAATAAAACCCGTGACCTTTAGCCATCCTTCTATTTACAGTTTGTTTTACCCACGTGATGTCATCACAGTACCTTACATTATTTTTATAGAAATTAGAGGAAATTGTGTCCAAAGGAAAATAACGAACGTACAAATAATTCGAAAAAGCCCTCTTGACACAATGTGCATATTTGAATAAGTGATTTGAGATACTTACGTGTAGCCCCATTTTTTCATCATTTCGAAAGCTTTGGTGTATTTATTATTGATCACCCAAATAAAAAGGAAACCGTTTTTTTGTAGTTTTGTTATCGGTAGTTCTTCTATACAAATATCCGGTAATTGCTGATAAGCTATTGCTACCTTTTAAGGGGAATCGACAGGATCACATTTAAGTGAAGAAACGCGAGTATCAGTTGTGTGAAAGAATCAGGACGAGAACGCGTATGGTAACTGTGAAAACAAGTATAAGAAAAAAAGAATATACTTTACACCACGAGTCGGTGCATGGGTTGCTAATTGCCACGGAGGATCCATTAGAATTACGTCGAACTGACATTCTTTGGATAGTAGCTAATTTCAAGGAGCCAATGATTATTCGTAAAAAATGTGATTAACCCACACGACAGAATTAAATATCCATTGATCGAATCAAATAATGACACTTGCATCCCATTCAAATGTCAACACGTCAGCTTTTATAGGTATGCACCATTCGGGTGCTTTGAATTCTTCCCAGCGATCTAAAAATGCGCCAATCAAAGAAAAAAAACAAAGTTGATGTTTTTTTTTCAACAAGAATATCTTGAATTTTATATTTCGCTTAAAATCTCGAAAATTCAACCTACCCTCATTATCAACATTATCATCAGTCGTCTCGTTCTCTAGATCGTTCTTGTTGTCGCTACCTCCATTATCATCTCCAACACTACTATTGACCTTGTACTTATTCAATGAAGTCTCTAATTGTGAAATCTCCTCTACTAATTCATCAATCTGTAATCGTAATTCTGTTTCCCTATTTAGTAAATAATACAGCTGCGTGTCCAACGCTGTGTCAGAAAACACGCTTGTCGAGCCGTTATTCTCGGTAGTGGAACGGTTTGAGGGTGAAGACAATAAATCTGGGTTAGTGGTTTCGTGGTCTGACATATTAACCTTTCTTCTCTGCCTGTTGTTTGTCACGCGGAAGTGTTTCGTTACGATAAAGTAGAGTTAAACTCTCACTGCACGTCGATACTCGGAGATCAGATATTTATAGAGATCTCGATAACGTGATGATAACAATGGGTCATTTCTGTCGCGTCGCACTTTTCAAAAAAAAAATTTCCACCATCATGTCATCCTTAAGCGTTCGATACAAACATTTATTTAATAAATCGTCTTCCCGTGCCAATCAATGGGCAAAGAGAGCTTCTCTTAACAATGTTGTTTTGGTTTGTCAATTAAAAATTTATTTAATTTACTCTTTGGTTATTTTTTGAAAATCACGTGATGGAATTCAATTGTTCTACTTCAGATATGCTTCACCGCTCATTTAACTTTAGAATAGGAATGGTCATCTTCGTATGTTTTGACGACCAAGTCCGAAAGATCAACATCGGTTCCAGGTTCAATGAGAAAGGGGCTCGCTAACTCAAACTGTCTGGATTGATCAAATAGAAAGGGAACCGTCCATTTAGTAGATGGATTCCATATATTCATGTGAAGAATGTAATTAAATCAAGATATATATACTCGGGATATGCAAATCGGTACATTGGAGGTGGTCGTGCTTCTTTTATAAGCAGGCTAATTTTTTGTTAATAAATGTTGTTAAGATTGCATGTATAAAGTTAAATAGTATGTTGAAGACACATTCTTGAGGAACTTACTTTTCTTTTGCATTGGTTATTTTGTATTTAAGGTTGTTTAAAGTAATTCGATTCCACTCAGAATCCGGAGTCATCGAAGATTCTATAAACTAAACACATCAACAACCTTAATTAACCATCTGTTATGGATTGCATGAGTAAATAAACATTGAATCCGCTAACCTCTGTAACGGGATGCTTTTTCTAATGGAAAAAATAATTGCATTAATCGATTTCATGAAAATGTAGAGGAAATAATTTAACGCGGAAATTGACATGCCTCGCCATGTTTTGTAAGGTAGTTATCAAAGTGGTACCAAGCAAATCCAATCAGACACACAATCAAAGTGTTTCTCCACACGGGCGAACCGAATCCTGTCAATTGACATAATAATATGAGATGACCACAGCCCCTTATTACATTTTTTTCATCCCCACTGGCTTAAAATCAATTCTGAACCTTCTTTACGAACTTCTTGGTTAGTTTCTGAGGCATACTGACGAATGAATTGTTGTCTATTTGTAGGACGAGAAGCGGCGACAAGAAGAGAAAATTGGGCTCGCCGAAAAAGGTTCATATTTATCTCGTAGAGTTATCAAATTGATCGACACATGACAAGTAAGGTATCACGTATTCATATCCAGATCTGTGCGTCTAGAAAACCTTTTTTATCGTGCCAATCAGCTTCGATCACTTCTAAATTTTTTTCGATTTTCGGAAACGAAAATGTTTAGAATTTATCTAAGAAAAACATCGTCAATTCTTTTAAAACAAAGAATTCTTGAAGCACGTGAGTCGTGGTTTGATAAAAACAAAGGTGTTATCAAATCTTCTTTACCAATTTAAAATTAACCTTATTGATCTCACAATTAGCTTCATTGGCTCCGGCTAATTCGACATTCAATAGATTCTTTTCTACCAATATTGCGAACGACAAAAGAAACAATGGGTGAGGACTTCTTGCAGCTTGAAAACCTTTAAAATCACGCGACACATTATACTAAAACGACTTTTTTTTTTTAATTATGCATAAAAAAATTCCTATCACAGTCCAACAGCTATCTTGCTAATGAATTTAGGCGGACCAACAGAATTAGAGGGAGTACAGGATTTTCTTGAGAGATTATTCTCGGATCCTGATCTAATTCCAATCCCGTTTCAAAAACGCTTGGCTCCGATAATAGCGAAACGTAGAGCACCTAGAATTCAAGAACAATACGCGAAAATTGGTGGCGGTTCGCCGATATTACATTGGACCCAAAAACAAGGCAGCGCCTTGGAAAAGTTGTTGGATGAAATTTGTCCCGAGACTGGTATTTATAATGTATATGTTTTTCATACAAAAACAGTAAAAAAAACTATTACTATTATTATTTTCTCAATTCTAACTTTGTTTATTTGCTTCAAAAAAGCACCACACAAATCATACATAGCATTTCGTTACGCCCCACCACTAACAGCGGATACAGTGATCCAAATGAAAAAAGATGGTGTGAGGCGCGCGATTGCATTCACTCAGTATCCTCAATATTCTTGTTCAACCACTGGTAGTAGTCTTAACGAATTGTGTAGAAGATTGGAATCGCTGGACTCCGAGCGATCAATTCGATGGAGCGTGATCGATCGGTGGCCGACCCATCCTGGATTGGTTGAGGTATATAGTTTTACGTCAATCCCCATCAGTTAACCAATCAATGGCACGTAAAATAAAATCTACATTCCATTTTTCCGTCAAAAGACGTTTGCAAACCACATTCAAGCATCCCTAAAAACTTATCCTCCTGAAGTTCGCGATAATGTAATTTTCCTATTTTCGGCACATTCGCTCCCAACGACAGTGGTGAATCGCGGAGATACTTATATATCCGAAGTTGCTGCAACTGTGCACGCAGTAATGGAACGGTTGGAATTTTCAAATCCGTATCGATTAGTATGGCAGTCTCAAGTGGGACCTCAATCCTGGCAAGGTCCACAAACTATAGATGCGATCTTGGAGTTTGGAAAACGAGGTAAAAATGATATTTTGTTGGTTCCAATTGCGTTTACAAGCGATCATATTGAGACGTTGTTTGAACTGGACTTGGAATATGGGCATGAGGCCGAAAAGGTAAATATTGGTGACATTCTTCTTTGGAATTTGATAATGTCCTCTTTTCGGGTGTAATTCTATTAAAAAAAACTTCCTCACAGGCCGGAATTACGGGATTAAAACGTGCAGAATCACTTAACGATGATCCAACATTCATCAAAGCACTGGCTGACCTGGTTCAAGCACATTTGAAATCAGGTAAAACCGTTTCGAATCAGTTTCTACTGAGGTGCCCGAAATGTAAAACCGCCTCATGTCAAAAAACAAGGGATTATTTTATGACTCAATAAGCTGATCAATTTTCTCCAGTGCTAATTTTGTGATGGGTCATGTAATATCAGAATATGGTTATAAATTAAATTTTCTAGAAATCCTACTACTTAATTATTCTTACGCTATCACATAAATATTGGAAATAATAATTATTGTATGATTCTTTAACCTCATCGAGAGTAAATTTTATTGATTTTTCTAATCCAGACTTCTTATAATGACTATTCCATACATATGAGAATGGTATTTTATCGAATATAATATTAAAATAAATATTTAATTTAAAAATAGATGAAATTTTTAAAATAATTTAATAATCTTTTTTTAAAGATATGAACTTTTGTAACTTAAATACTGTATATTATATTAGAGATAGGTATAATAATAAGATAATATACATTAATTTAAAATACTTGTTACTTTTTTAAAAAAATTAATATTAATAACTAAAAGTTATATATATATTAGTACTTTGATAATACAGATTATTTATTATTATTATTATTTAGTTTACATATTAATAGATTTATTAATTTGGAATTTTCAATATCAAGACTATTCTATTGTTATATTATTTAGTTATTTATTAACTATCTTATTACAAAAAAAAAAAAAAAAACTCTTTCCCACTCCCCTTTCTACACTTAAAAATTTCCTTTTTAGGAAATTTTTGAGTTGTCTGTTCCTTTTTTTCATCTTTCCCCTTTTCCTCTCCCTATGCTCCCTTTCCCACCTCTTTATTTCCCTTTTCCTATTCTCTCCCCTCTCTTTTATATACTTTTTTTTTTATCTTTTACCTTCCTCCTTCTTTTTTCCATTTTCTCTTCCTGCCAAAGCTAGGTTTTTTCCTTTTTCCTGAAGGTTTTTCTCTCTAGGCCTCTTTCTCTTTTGAAAATTCTGTTTCCATAATATCACTCCTTTGGCCAGTTGATTTTCTTTTCTCAAGAACCATATTAAGAAGCGATAACTTTTCTTAGAATATGAACTTTAGAATTTTTTCTCTTTTCCATGGTTTCTTAGAAAAAGAATGGATGGCTTATCCTCTTCAAAAGATTGACATGGCTATTATTACCAAACCCTGTGTTGTTTACTAATTGGCAGTTAGACTAGATATGTCCAAGAAATCTTTGTACAACTATTATTATCTGAAAATATCCAAGAAGTTATATTCTACAGTATTTAGAGTGAAATGATAGTCAATGTCAATACAGTTAGTAATAAGCTAGACTAGTTGCAGGTGTTATGCTAGTGATTGGGGAACTTAGTAGGGTAATACGTAATGACCAGAGATTCTAATTACTCCTACAACACAAGCTGATAATAACAATGAAAGTTACTCACTTATCCCTCCAACAATATAGATCTATTGTATAAGGTTAGGTTCCAGTGCCACTAAAAAAACCAATATGAACTCCACTTATGGATATTTCCACCATACTTGAAGCATAGATGTGCCAAATCCTTTTTGTGACTTGGAGACAAACCTGTATAAAGTGACTGCAACACCTTTATACAAAAAAGTAATTATTTTTTATCGCCTCAATACTACTCTGCTTGCTATACATCAAGCTATATTTGAAAAGCAGGCATGTTAATCCTAATTATGACTTGGAGGCCAACCTGTATAGATTGGTTGTAGCGCCTTTATGTGATTAAGTATTTATTTATTTCTAGGTAACTAGACACCATTCATAAACATAATATAGATTTTTGAATTTCTTTTTTCTGTATTTCTTGAATAGTACCAAAAAAGCACAGAGGTCTGGCCCCATACAGGAGCCTTGTGTTAACTCTTCCTAACAAAGAGAAATATATATCATATTATTGAGTATTGTACCTTACTTTGCAAGTAAAAGTATAATAAATATAATAAAGTGTGATAACTATTTGCTTTTTTCAAAAAAAAACAAAAAAAAACTATCTTATTACAAAAAAGTAGATTTATTAAACTATTATTATATAATATTAATTATTTAATACTTTTGAATCCTATAACTTTTTAATATATTGTAGTTATAGAAAATATATATTATGTAAAAATAAACTTTTTTCATTAATTTTTTTTAAAAATTTTTTGTAATTTTATTATCCAAGAAAAAATATTTTTTAATTATTTTATTAAAAATTTAAAATCTAAAAAAGTTTAAATTTTAATATTATTATCAAATCTTTTTTAGTATATAATCTTTTTTTAAAAGTTTTTTAAAGAGTTTTGCTTATTTTAATTTATTATAGAAATCAAACATAAGTATTCTCCATAATATATACTCCTTATCATTTTTGAAGGTCAAATAGTAACTTATATCTGGGTATTAAGCAAATTCAGCCAATTATATTTCTAGTTTTTGCAATGCAAAATTTATGATTTATTAATTATTAATTAAAATAAAGTTTTGAATTAATTTAAAATTAAATTTTAGTATAAGATATAAGTAAAATTTTATTCTCAACATTTTTTATTAATACTTTAAAAATGAGTTTAAACATTTATTTATTTAACAATTTTATTATTAATAATAGAAAAGATAATAAAGGAATTTATAAATAATTTAATATATTGTATATCTTATTTAAATCTGTAATATAACTTCTTTATTTTTATTACATGTATAGTTTGGAACAAAAAAACTGGCACTCAGTTTTTTTTATTAAAATTAATAATTTTATTT